CCCAAAAATTGCCCATTATATTACTCATCACAATACAAAGAAAGATGATTATAAAGTCAAGTGCTTTACCCAGGACCCCCAACCATGAATTACGTTTTTTACTTCCACATGTTTAACTGATTAGTGGCAGTAATGAACCTTTCAGACTCAACTATTACTGGAAAATGCAACAAGCACAAACAGGCATACGCCTTTTGACTCCTTCTTTCCGAAATTGCAATTTCTAAAATTCACGGGAATACACAGCTTTTCCCTTGAAAAAAACTAAACAAAACAAAAACAAAACAAAAAAACATTTGCTTGTGCTTGAATGATGCAGATGTAGTAGTTCATGTCTGTTCGAAACAGTTGTGTTGAACTATTTCAAGATAAAGAAGAAAGACATAGGCTATAAAGTTAAAAGCTCTTTTATGTATCAGCTTGAATGTTCAGCTTTTCAGATTCTTACAGCGGAGCTTTTAAAAACGGCACAAGGAGACGCTGACAGTCAGTCAGTCACCAGTCGGCACAACCTTTTATTTTTATTTTTTTTAACGGGAGCTTCCGATCACTCCGGTGTCTGCGGTTTTGATTATGTCTTCAACGCGCGATCCGGTTTGCAGGCCTCAGAGAATATTTGCTAGAAAGCATGTCGAGCCTTCCCCTGAACAAAAAAAGAAAAATCTCTGAACCCTGCCATTTTATGTTAGAACTCTGTACTCTCTGTGGTCCTCTTTCGGATGGCTTTGTTTGATAGTTTCCTTGGTGGATATGAAAGATTAATGTGACAGAAGCACCTGCAGCAGTTTCTCAATGACAGCTGTAAAAGTGCAGAGAAACGGCTGATAGAAGACATTCTGACTGCCGTGCCCTCGTAAGGCGAACTGTTTAATGTGCTGTCACGCCTCTGAGAGTCATCTCAAACTGCCCTGGCAATCACAAAAGGCTTTTCTTTTCACGAGCCTCCACTTTAACTAGAGTGTTGCGTATGTACTCTGATGTGTGGTGTGTGTGTGTGCGTGTGTTTTTGTGGTGGGGTTAGCCTGCATAAGTTCAAAGAAATATGAAGACAAACTAAAAGCACAAAAGTGACTTTTTCCTCAAACCTTTTCTTGTACTTTGTAATACCCCTTTCACACTATTGCATATCTGCCTTGTGTCGCACAGGGAGACACAGCGCCACAGGAAGTAACACTCATACTGGAGCATTTGACCAGATAAGTCAGGCTGCCATGGGTTTTTCTGGACACGTCGAGAAATTTTGCTGAAGGAACCATGGAGGCTGCATATGTGCAACACTGCTCAAAAATTACTCAAACCTTAGCTCAAATACTGCTGCTGTAACCCAGTAGTGACATTGCTCAATCTCACTATGAAGATGCTCTGTAGGATGCTTCAAACTGAAAGTGAAACTAAACGTTTGCCCAAGCTTTTGATCGGTTTGGCTTAAAATCATCGGACCACTTGTGGGCATTTAAATGTAAATTTTACCTTGTAATGATCTTAAAATATGAAGAAAAAGTAGCAAAAGAGTGAGAATATGGCAAAAGTAACACACCCGGTCTTGGCAGAAAACTGTAAATTCCACATTTCTGATCCAGACACGATGCACTATTTAGCACTATTTAGCATCCTGCTCCACCAAGAGCAACACATATTTGTACCAAAAATGAAAAACTTTAATTTGCTCTTGTTTAAACATACATAGACCCATTTTATCAATACGCCAGCATACATGGTTTCACAACATCCTAATCCGGTGCATTTGCTTAATCAAAATTTTGTCTGAGATGTTGTCATGGCAATTCTGCATTTGGCGTTTTTACACCTTAAATGCAATCAAATTGTTGCCATCATCCACACTGACTTTAAGTTGTATTAAAGAAGAAAACTGCTTCAACTGACCTTCAAAGTCTTAGGAAATAGTTTGAAGAAAAACAGGCAGTAGGATTTATCAAATGTGGCACCAAGGTTATCTGTATGAAGTCCAGACGCTGCAAAAAGACATGCTTTAGCATGGTCCTATTTGAGCAAAGCTGTGCTTTCTCTTCAGAAGCAAACTGTAGGATCCAGTCTTTCAGCTGAGCGATGCAGCCGGAAGAGTAGTCGAAATATTCCTCTGTTTCAGTAACAAAGGTCAACGTTTTCAGCTCTGACGATGTGTCGTGGTTCAGATTCGAACTGAGCCTGGATTGCCACAGTGGATGCGCAGTCCAAACAGATGTGATAATGTGAGCCTCCAAGAAAACAAAAGCTTTTGGACAAGACGATGCTTTTCTGTCCAGTGGGAGCAAGACGAGTATATCAGCTCGATAATGACATAGAACACCTGTAGGGTTTTAAAAGTAAAGGTAATCTAAACCATCCGGCCGTGGTCGTCATAAATCACCAGAAGAATGACAGAAAGCCTGTTGCTGCGCTATATTCTGTTTTAAAGAGCATTCAGTCATTTGCGACTTGTACAAATGACAAAAGACCAGTTTCTGGTCTAATTCGGTCAGAAATTGAAAATGCAATGTCCTAGCGCTTTTTTTTTTTTTTTTTCAAAATCTGGCCCTGATAGAAAGCAACATAAATCATCCTGAGCAAATTGGAGATGGAGCTATCAGAATTTCAACTGCAAAACGCAGCTATTTACCAATTCTGAAATGCCCTGAATTTGCTCTTGTTTAAATCTATGCAGACCCATTTTATCAATGCGCTAGCATACATGGCTCACTGGAAAACAGTTTCACAACATCCTAATCCGGTGCATTTGTTTAGTCAAAATTTTGTCTGGCCAATAAGAAGACATGTGAACATCATTAAACATGACTGCTCTTCTGTAAATGGTTATTTATTATTTATGCCAGGAGCAGAGGCAATGTCAAACACTGTAAAACAGGGTTATAACATCTTTAATACAGAATGAAAACTTGCTCTGGGATCTTCGATCAGTAAATAGTGTGGAAAGCTTAGCTACAACTTCACAATGAGCAAATGTTCCCATTAGGCCTGTTGCAATAAGCAATGACTCTATTAAGCGCATGATGAATTAAAACAAGATCAGTTTCCATTTTTGTGAGTTTTTTGTTGTTGTTTTCTCTTCTTTCTTCATCCACCAAAACCTGGTTTTCAGTCTGGTGCTTTGGACTTTACAATTCATTTTTTTGTTGTCTCTGTTTGATTTATTTTGGATATTTAAAATGTCTTCCATTGAACAGGGTCAATCATCCTTCCTGTTACCTGCTGTAAGTCATGTCTTTCTTTCTCTACTTTCTTTTTCGTTTTTACTGACATGTTGGGAAATATTCTTTATTTTCCTGGAAGTTTCTCACAACCGTCCATTAGTGTCTTCTGACTTCAGCGTTCAAACATCTTAGTGACACTGAAAATAGCCAACTTGTTCTTCTCTCAGCAAATGCATCCATCATTCAATAGTGTTATTTTGGCGCAACCTGGTAGTTTTTGGATTTAGGAGTGGGGCATTTATCGTGTCATTTATCAAAATAAAATAGTTGTCATTCAAATTCCGATGTATTGTTACCACAATAAATTCAAATTATGTTTAAAACCCTCAAAACTGTCCAAGTTGTACTACTTTCTCCATCCTTTGTTCAATGACTGCAATGAATAGTGAAAAAATATTGATATGTTTTCAAATACCAATAAGTTACTTTGTGCATCTTAGTGATATAAATTACTTCTTGATCTGTTTTTTGAGAGCAGCGTTTTTGGGGCCATGCAGTTGCAGCCAGACAGTTACCTAAAAAATAAGTAATAGTTCTTATCATCACTTTTATTGATACCGCAAAATATTGTGATAAAACTCTTAAGTCCACATCGCCATACCCAAGTTGTGTTTGATGACGGTGGTTGTTGTAAATCAAGTCTCACTATGTAAGCTCCTTCTGTGTCCCCCAAACGGTTGCGCTGTAATCCATGTTTTAGTCTGTTTACCATGACTGTGTGGGGAAAGTACAGAATTCGGTCTGCAAAGACAAGTGGGTGTGACACAGCGATGTTCATCTGAATTGTGCAGCACGCAGAGCAAGAGGAAAGAAATCATAACTAAGAGCCAGTGAGGAGGCAGGGGGGCACAAAGGGATTTGAGCAGGTATTAAAGGATGATTGCGCGTGGGCTTGTCTGCCGTGCTCCTGAGAAAGAATGCAAACCCCGCATCAGACGGAGCGAGGATAAGAAAGAGCAAGAAACATCAGAACAACAAAACACAAACAAAAAGGAGGAATAGAGAGGAGGGAGTGAGAGCGGTGCATAAATAGTTGAAATATTTCAAAGGATTTCAGAAGGTTCTGGTGAAACACTGCATGTGTGTGTCCTCAGCGTCTGCGAGTCGTATTAGTGTCTGGTGACGATGTTTTCTGTACTATAACTGTAGTGTACACCATGTACGTTATAAATAAATAAAGTCTGAATACCGCACAGTGCAAATTGGCACTTCTGATCACGGATTATAATTATTTGTTACAGGAAAAATAACACACACAAAACCGAATTAGTACCATCATCTAATTCATAATCCTTCATGGTTTATAAATCAGAATGATCCATATCTCCCTCAACGACTGATTCTATCTCCTTTTTTGACAGCTGTCAACACTTAAAAATGTTTTGGTTTCATATGCATTACATCATTTTTCAATACTCTTTCTGTTTGTAAAATACTTTGTTTTTCGCCGCTCTTTGTCTGGCGTATCGCACTTTTGATTCGTTGATGGTTTGTAAGCATTGCGAGCGCAGACGACGATCACAGTCAGGGTTCAAAGTGATTTCCTCTCTGCTTTAGTTTCTTTATCAGAATGGACACGTTGTTGCGTGTCAAGAGCATCGCCTTCGCTCTCTTATTTTTGCACCATAAATCTGGCAGCTGCTTTAAATCTTGCACAATCTTAATTGGGGAAGAAAATCTACAGAAATAATCACTTACTTCCACCTCCAGAACGCGGAGAGATTTTTACTTCGCTTATTGTGTGAGTGAGACAGGTTCAGTGATCTCGTTTGATGATGTGTGTCTTTCCAGCTCAGAGCCATGTGGAACCCACCCAGTGACCAGAGTGGACAGGTAGCTGCCAGGATGGAGACCACTCCGTCCCTGGGAAGCGCCAGCATCTCCGTCTCTCAGCAGCAGGCCCCCAAGAAGTTTGCCCCCATGGTCGCACCCAAGCCCAAGTTCAACCCGTACAAACAGATGGGAGATGCCGGCCTGTCTGATCCTGCAGGTAACAAAACAAAAAAATGCCTAAAAGTGTTGATCTCAAGCCCATTATTACAGAGGGGCAGGATTATGCAAATGTGACATTTTTAAGCTTTACATTATGTTAAAATGTTATTCCCTCATCAAAATCACACCTGGAGTGTTGCTTTGACTTTTTCCTGCATGACTGAGAAATCGTCAAATCTCCCATGGCAACCATTCAGCTCCTGGTTGGACCAAGCTCTCCTTTCAAAGTGGTTTTCTAACCCAGCTCCTTCAGACTAGCCTGGAGCAATTACAAATGCCTGGTAGAACTGAATTGAGGCCCAATTTCAAGGCTTCAAATTACTAAGTCAAATTTCAAGTCATATGAAAAGCATTTTTGTAACAACTTAGGGTAGCATACTTGCTTCATTGTGCTATGAAAGGATTCTGTGTAGTTGGAAAACATGTAGTACTGCCCCTTTAATAGATTATCATCAATCTACTTGCTCGAACGCATCCCTCAACTTTCTTTTATCTATAAATCTTCTGTCTGTTGCAGATTAACTTTATAAAGTCTACTACTTCCTAAAGGTCTGTGATCAAAAAGTCCTTTTGGTAAATGTATTTAAAGTAGGTCTCCATGCTTTTTTCAGTCTCACAAAACCTGTTGCATCTAGACCTTGAGGAAGTTTCACTAAACCTTTTCAACCTTTTTTTGAAAACTTGGAGGACCTCAGCTCAAAAGGAAAACAAATATAAATAAATAAACATAGAGTAACTTGCTGAAGTATTGCTAAAGGATAAGTAATATTCAGCTTTTTTATTTTAAAAAATAGTCTCGTTTAGTCGGCACTTTGTAGAAGCACCTTTGCAGCAACAGGTCGCACTGGATCATGAGTCCAATATTCCTTTTTCTAATAACTGAACAGTATTTTCTGTTATAGTCCAGTAAACTATATTATTATGATTACTAATATTGTTGTCATTGTTAATCTGGTTTTTTATATGTATATTGTTTTTAACACTTTCTGTTTTTGTGGTAACGTTTACACCCAATGCTGCTTATTTTTCCCCTTTCTTTCTGTCTAACACAGAGCATAACAGATGAATATGGTTCAGTCTAAGTTTTGTCGCTCCGGCTGTCGATATGAGCAAAAACATTTTCATTGGAGCCACTTCGGTGCATCCATATTTTCAAAATGGCTCTTCAAAGATAGAAAATATTTTCTTGAGGGCATTTATATGTTATTAAATGTGGGATTATATTGATATTCACTGCTGCCACCACCTGTTTTGGAGGGGAATTGCATATTGCAGGAGTTGGGAGATTTACCTTCCAGTACAAACACGAATCAATTGGCAGGCTTAACCAATGGCTGGTCGCCCTTTGTGACGCTGCCCCGTCTTGCTCTCGCTTTACAGTTGATGTTTTCCAATATTCAGCAAAACAGGTTTTCTTCTGAAATTATTCTGAATTAGCCTCATCCATCATCCCGTCTCTGCTAAAATCTACGAGCTCAAATCAGCTTCTAAAGGCATTGAGTTGCACCTTTTCTTCCACATCACAATTATGCACTACGTTGCATTAATCTGTCACGTGAAAATCCCAATAAAATACATGGAGGTTTGCAACTGGAACATAATAAAACGTGAGAAAGTTCAAGGGGTAAGAATAGCGCTTGGCTTAAAAAGGTGCTGACTTGTATCATTTTTTTCCTCTGCAGCCGTTGTAACGCCGTTGTACTGAGCCGGTCCTGGAGTGAGGCTCTGTTAGAGGCATTAATGTAAGAACAGTGGTGAGAATGAGGGACTCTGAGCAGTTGACAGTATTGACATTTTAGATGTGGGGAGGGAAGGAGAGAGGTGGAGTTCCTGCATGAATAATACTGAATAAACAGTGCAAGTGCTGTGGTTTACAGTCATGTGTGAATTCAGGAAGCCTTATGTTGAGTGTTCTATTTACATCCCCGGGGACACAATGGTTAATTTAAAAAAAAAAAAAAAAGACTTCAGTCTTAGTTTCAACACGTAATTGCTTGTAGTGAGTGTGTGGGTTTTTAACTTTTTTAGTGTGGGTTGAAATATTAAGCTAATGGCTTTTTGTTCTTTGAATTGTAAGACTCAATTTTTTTTCAAAAGCAACTATCTGGAAAGAGTGATAAAATTGAGAACAAATAATAGATGATAATTGGTGTATTTCATTTTAGAAAAAGCATATTTATGAAAGATTCTTGGTATTTACTCCAGGAGAGCCATTTGTTTATTTATTTATTTATTTTAAAAAGACAAAACTTTCTATTTTTAAAAGCTAATTTTACAAGCTCAGGATTTTGGCTCAGAGGAACAACATCTGGATAATTTATGCAAATAATATCAAAAATATTTTTATTTAAATAACAGCATGGTAAGTTATAGGAAATAGGCTGCAAACGGACAAGAACGGTGAAAAGTCAAAGGCGTCAGACTTGCTTATTTGAACTGAAAAAGTAAGATCATGTTTTCATAAGTTATAAACGCGACGCTCTGTTTGAGTCATTTGCCGTTTAGGAACGTTTGCAAACTTTTCAGAGTTTGTTGTGAAGTCTCCAGCGTCCAAGATGTTCTAACGGCGGGACGTGGCACAGAGGGGATGGCGCGCAGCCGTGCATGTTCCAACTTCCTGTCTGGCTGATGTGTTGTAACATGAGCATTATCTAAACGTCTGCCCTCAACCACCCCCTGAGAGCACCTAGATTTCCAAAACAGGGGAAACGGTTATGAAATTCGGCGTGTAGTGATCACACTGTGAGGCTGAAAACACGGCTGTCAGTGGGGGTTTGCGGTTTGACTTCAGATCTTCTTCTGCTGCAGATGTTGGCTTTGTGAAAATTGTTCTTAGACGGCTGCTTTTTCAGGTTTGCCCACCGCTGAAAGGAGGGCAAAGAAACAAGAAAACCCCCCAAAAAGAAACAAGACGTTTAACACACGACTGTTAGAGAAATTCAGTAAGGAGATATCTTGCATATGTCGTCTGAAAACAACACATTTGGTTTCTATACTCTTGCATTAAACCAAAGGTATTTCTTAAATATTTGCTCTCTGGTGAATAGACTTCTAATTGAAGGACAAAAACAAAGTTTTGCAGAGCAAAAGAGTAAATTAAACATAAACAAACCCATCGAAATACCTGCATCAATTATTTCTCTGAATGGTAACAATAGCTGGGTTCTACTTGAGGATCCTGAAATGACTTTGACTCATTATGGAGACATTAAAGCAGTTAAGAGTGAATGGCTGCTGTAAACTGAAAGACCTTCACAAAATAGTTTCCCTAAATGACCAAATAGTGAGACTATGTGACTACATGGTCAGGCTGTTAAATACACAATAAAACATATTTTCTGGGTGATAAATTGTCCCAGAAATTATTGTGGTACATAATAATATTGTTGTTTTGACATGATTTTCAATCGACGTAACAATAATGGCAAAATAATGCAAGAAGACATTCTCAAAGATCAATAAACTTTAAATCCGAATGAACATTTAACACAGGAAGTGGAAGACATTTTAAAAATCTAAAATATATAAACAACACAACAGAGACATTCAATAAAGTGAATTCTGAAGTGTTTGTAAAAAAATATATATATATATGGTTGAGACCAGAGCACCAGACTGTAGACTTTTATCATCCAGTTTTTGGGAGAAGGAGAGAAAAACACTAAATCATGCAAACAGAAGTTATTGAGCTGGTTTCAGTGGATCGTGTGATTAACTGATTTATTACTGCAGCTGGCCTACTAAATAATCTTCTTTACTATCATGAAAACATGCAATGAATTTAAAATTTGCAAACCATGTGCATGATTTAAATCAGTTTTAAATAAATAGTTCTAAAACCACCGTGATTTTCCATCACACTGTTCGTGCTCCAACTGGAATTGAATTAGTAAATTGAATTGTTAAGAACTAATCTAAAGAAAATCATTAACTTCCCTGTAGAGGACATTGTCAGCAGAAGAGACCAGTAGAAAGTTGTTTTATTTAGTTGCACTGTCCAGCTGTTTGAAATAAACAAAAACACAATTAACTCTAAATAATTTCTTTGACAAAGTTCAAGGATATAGTAAAGGGCGATTTGAGTAGATGAACAAAATTGATTGCATCATCTGTCTGGTAATGGTTCCATAATGATAGAGATTTATCCCTGAAATGTTCTTGTGTTGTTTCAGTTTCTGTTGCAGCTTTAATCATCAGCAGCGTGGGGACACTGAATAAAGTTTTTAGTCCTTTTTTTACGCTGGGTGTGTGTATTGTGAGTCAGATTGCTCAGTAGCTCACTGGCACGTCCATTCTGAGTTTGCAGTGTTGGACTTTGTGGCGCCGGCGCCTGCGGCAGTGTCATTGTGTTTCATGTTTTGTTTCCTGGCTTCAGCTAACAAACTCCCATTGAGCGTTTCCTCAAAATCAGACGGATTTTAAAACAACTTGTTAATCCAGACCGTTTTTATTTTTGAAGACATAAAAAAAACAAAACAAAGACTTGCCGTAGGCCGACACCAATCAATTTGGGTGTTTTGTTTTTTCAGAAGGCCAGCTAACAAACGGTTGGTGCGCTAATGTGTCAGAAGACACATTTATTGCTGTTTATTGCTTAATTTATTGCCAAATTTTCAATGAAAACCATAATGGAGCGCGGTCATAGCGTATTTTTCATTGGAGCTATAAAACTACAAACAGATTCAGACATAAAGCAGCTCTTTGTTTACACAGTGCCACCCCAGGACACCAAGTCATCTACTGATCAGACAGCACTAGGTTTATTCTGCTTTTAATCACAGTTAGTGATTAAAAACACCAACTGTGACCAAAGTAAGTGCTGCGCCTCCTAGAGGGCTATTGCTGTCACATGTTTTTGTGGTCAGAAACTTGTCCGTTCCATTTTAAGGTTAATTTTTTTGTTTTGTTTTTGATAATGATTGAAAAATAGATTAGATTTTATGATAAAAAAAAGTAATTGAAAATTTATGGTAAAAGATTTATTAGATTAAATATTTT